TGAATGGATGGATGAATGAATGATTAAAACATATGAAGAACGGTTGCAGGATTTGGGGGTGGCTGGTTCAGAGAAAAGAAGAACGGGGGGGGGGGCATCATAGAAGTATTTTAGCATTTGAAGGGATGCCACAAATTAGAGTGGGGTCAAATTATTCTCCAAAGGACCAGAAGGCAGGATGAGAAGCAATGGATGGAAATTGATCGAGGAGATATTTAACCTAGAGATAAGGATAAATTTCTTGACAGAATCAGTGGAACGGTTTGCCTTTAGAAGTTGTGGGTGCGAATGTATATCTATAATTGTATGTAAGAGAATAAATGATGGTATACTATAACCTTTTAAATGGAATAACAAAAGTATAAGAATGGCAAAGAAAAAGAATAACTATGTGAATGTATACCTATAATTGTATGTAAGAGAATAAATGATAGTAAGAATATAAAGCATAATATAGGTAAACAATATTTTGCTATAAATAGCTAAGTATAAATAAATATAGAATAGTACATAAAAATGGATAATGAATAAGGGGACCTGAATGCAAGATAGAAATATATAGAAGGGAAAACACTAACTGTAAAAAAACGATACGGAACTGCTGTATGATATATGATGGAACTTCTTGTTCCTATGTTGTTTTAAGTCATGTGTTTGTTTTGATGTGTTTATGTGTTTAAAATAAAATTAAAATAAAATAAAACAAAACTAAGAGCTTTTTGAACATTCTGTAGCCCTCAAACCATCAGTATTGTATACCAAAACAAATGTCTTTACTATGGAAATAATTACCTCTCGCATTTGAATACTTTATGTGCCATTTTTTCATTTATATTGCTTCCTTCAAATACTGTTCACTCCTTTACTAAATTAAAAACTAAAATTTATCAACTGAGTTCAATTGGCTTTTAAACATCAGATGCAAAACAAAAAACAAAAAAACCACCAACCTTTATTTCAGGCTTCACAATGACTTGGCCCAGTCCTTGACAGTTATAGAAGATATATGTAGATTGACCTCTCCGCTATTGGGGAAAAGTCCTCAAACCCTTTAGTGAGTGGAGAACCTTAATGACAAGTTAAACTTTATTTACCTTACATAGAATACAAAATTCTATGTAATTTTGGGAGAATACAAAATTCTGCTCAGCCTCAACATAAAGATAATGGTTTATATAGTACCTTGTTTACATTGTTGAGCATTTGAAGCAAATTCCAGTTGGATTATCCTTAACAGTGGAAATTGTTATTTCAGCATCCTTCAGCATTTTCCAGATTTCTCACTTCCTTCCTTTTGACAGTTTCCTAATATTAGCATGCTATATTCCTAAAATGTATTTACGTGTTTAGCAATTTAAGCAATAAGCTGCCTGTGAAAGAGGAGTTCTGGAACTTGCAATCAGTGTAGGTTCCTTTTATCCAATATTTGTCCATTACATTCAGATATATTCTCTAAATGTTATCTGGAATGAAGTGCATGGTCAGCATGATAAATTCAGAACATCTGGAAGACATCAAGTGGATACATGTCTTGGGATCACTGCCATCTTTGGAAAGAGTTAAAAAGGCTTCCATGGGTAACAGATTCTGGATGAAAGGGAGAAAATTTTATTACTAATACTTTAGTCCACAAGATGCATAAATAAGATTTTTCTGCCTCAGGCACTAAAATGAGTTGATTAACCTGAGATAATAGGACCTTTTGTCATGGGGACTCAGGAGTAAACAAGAATTATGGAAACATGGCCATTTAGTGCAAACTCAACCAAGCCCATTTTTAAAATGGCAAAATTTCCATTCTAAGACTTGGTTGATTTTTGATTTGAGGAACATTAATGTGTGCCTTTTTCTATATCACAGATCTGCCATTATTCACAAATTCCCACAAATCCTCAAAAAGGTATTATGAATTTAGGGCATTGTGGATAATTAGAAATGGCCTCTGTGTGTCCATCCAGAGGCTAAACAAATATAAACACGAGGTTCTAATCCACTAAGTCATCATGGAGAAGGTCTATATGATCAGGTATGACATCAACTTGGTAGCACATAATCTAAAGCATAGCAAGATACATATTCCTACTCCAGCATATACTCTCATTCTACTTACTTCACTACTGCCTTATGGTATTTTCAGTAAAGCATCTTAATACAAAACTCTTGTCAAGCTTTTACACCAAACTAGGGTTTATTTAATAATTTACCCAGTTACCACAGTTACCCAGTTTGTCCAAAATAAGCAAACCATTATTTACAAATCTATGGTTGAATTTATATAACACACTGCATTATATATTATGGTTCCTTAGTTTGGGGTTATTGAATTGGTCAAACCAGCTCAAATGCCAAGGTACAGATTGGCTCTCTAAGTGGAAACTCTCATATCAATAGAAGTCTAAACTCTTTCAGTCCTACAGGTTCTGCCAAATGCAGAGTTAATTGCATCCTTTGTGTTGTTTCTGCTGCCAGGAAAACTTCTGCATTGTAGAATTTGAATGATGTGAGTGTCAGGGTACCCCTTGTTTAAATGTGCCGATCCCTTCTTACTGCTTGTTTTTTCACTGGCTGCTGTTCCAGCAATTGTAGACTAGTGACCAACAATCTGCTTCTTTAGCAGTGACTTGTATAATCCAGCTGGTCTGAAGTCTCTTAAGAGAAACAAATAATTCTGTTACTTTGAGCTTCAGTCCACAAACATGTGATCCTTGTTAAATGAGAAGGTAGAATGTACCACAACAGCTGGGTAATGAGGTTAATCAGCCATTTAGGTCATTTTACCACCCGTATACCCACAATTAGCTAAATTGCAAAAAAAAAATGTTTATACCAAAAATACTGTTGCAAATTTAGAGAATGGGCTATTTTCATGCTAATAATCACAGGTCTAAAATCCAGGCATGTATATGATGAAGAACAAGGAAGAGAAACTCTTTAAAACATTTAGCTTGTCATTTCTATTAATTTGTCTCTTTTCCCCTTCATTATTCCATTTTAGTTTTATCTACCAACAATTATTTTGGGTCCTGGATATTCTATAACTTCCTTAAGGGTTGTCTGGAATGTTTGTCTTCAATTCTATAGGCCACCATTCTTGAGTCTGTCTCCAAGGAAAACTACCTGGGGAAGGAGAAGGAACAAATAACAAGGTGTTTAGGTTAGATGAAGGGAGGGATCCTGAAAATAGACTGTTAAGAGTAGACCACATGTATTAAAGCAATACTATAGCACCTGAAAGACAAGGCTGTCCTTAAAATAAAGATTATCTTTAATATATTCAAAAGAAAAAAACAAGAAGCTGAAGAAACATCTTCAAAAGAAAAAAAAAGTCCAATTGCCTCCTGAAAAAGCACCTTTGGGACATCCATGACCTGAATGACTGAGAATGTCTACAGATGTAAAGATGATCTATTTTTGTTTGGGGTGATCTTGGGCCAATTACTTCCTCTCAGCCCTAATCAGTGTCAGGCTCTGCAATGAGCAGGCTGAAAAACTAGCCCCTCTCATCGTATGGTATCAGAGTTGGAAGGGACCTTATAGGTCATCCAATCCAACCTCCCACCTAAACAGGAGACCCTACACAATATCAGACAGAGGGGAGTCCAGTCTCTTCATGAAAGCTTCAAGTGAAGAAGCTCCCACAACTTCCATAGGCAAGCTGTTCCATTGGTCGATTGCTCTCACTCTCAGAAAATTTATCCTTATTTCCAGGTTGAATCTCTCCTTGGTCATTTTCTATCCATTATTCCTTGTCTGGCCTTCAGGTGCTTTGGAAAATAGCTTGACCCCCCTTCCTATCTATGGTAGCCCCTCAAATATTGGGACACTGCTACCATGTCTCCCCTACTCCTCCTTTTTACTAGACTAGCCATACCCAGTTCCTGCAACTGGACATCATATGTTTTAGCCTCCAGTCCCCNGCTCATCTGTGCACGTGCATGGCGTGTACAGTGCCTGCACGACACTCCGCCGAGCAGCTGGAGCATAGCAGAGCCTTGCGGAAGCGTAGTTTCCAGCTACAATACATGCGCGCGTGTGCATGTGGGTGATGCTGGAGCCATTCCAACCGTACTGGTTGCAACGGAATCCAGAACACACCATTGGTGCATACTACACTGGAGATGGTTGGTGAAGTGATAGAAGGATAAAAGCCCACCCCTGCAACATTTTGTCCTCTTGGTTTTTTAGCCTTTGCTTAATTGTTGTTAATTTTAATATTTTTAATATTTATGTTTTTATGGCAGTGTAAGACACCCCAGAGTCAGATTAGTTAATGAAATGGACCGCATACAAATTTAATAAACAAATAACAGACGTCTACAAACTTGACATATTCATTTATCTCTTTCCTAATGTAGATTATATGAGTGTAAACTTTACAGTGCCTGTAAAGATGCTGTAAATATAACAGACAAGTTCTTGTTTCAGGTGATTGTTATGAAGAGATCTCTGGGTGTTGGATATGCAGCAGTGGACAACCCCATCTTTTACAAGCCCAACACTGCCATGCTTCTAGGAGATGCTAAGAAGACTTGCGATGGTCTGCAGGCCAAAATGAGGGAGTTCTGCCCAAATTAAATATTAAAATGTACTCTTCGGCCAGTATGAACAAAACAAAACAAAAACAAAAACTAAAAAGTGTTATGTATCAACTTTAAAAGATAAAGGTTAGCAAGTGTTCTTGAAATGAAGATCTTTTTAAAAAAGAGGAACATTAAGGTCCAGAAATGCAGTGATTTTTTTTATAAAAGAGCAGGAAAATCAAAGAAAAGAAAAGCATTGAAACACTGAAGTGAACATTCTTGAGCAATCAGAACCCGGAATACATACAGCTGAATGCAGTCTATTTTAGAGGAATTTTCCTTTGGCAACCACAATTTAACACAATGAGACTCAGGAATTTGGAGAATCTCTCTCTTTTATGTGACATAAGATATAAGGGAAACAACCATTAAAAGTTCTGTGGCTCCAGAATTTGTTAATGATTCCCAGTGAACAATTTGCTAATCAAACTGAACTGGATATTGGTCAACCCCACTACATAAACCAGACTTGGAAATCAGCTCCCCAGGAAGACTACTTTTATTGAGATTGGCTGTAATAACAGAATCTTGTGTATCTGATTGTGCTGTACCTCCTCTTCCTTCTTTACTTCAGTGAATTAGGGAGGCATCTGCCTGAGCCACTTTTGAATGTTATCTTCTTGTTCTGGACTTAAAAAAATTGCATCAATCCCTTTTCTTAAGTAATGGTTTCTCCGTCAAAGCCATCTTCCTTATTTTCTACAGTATTTTATGAGCCTTTATTTACATTATTCTAAACAGAAATGATGATGATGATAATGGTAGTTATGAAGATGATGATGGCCACTTTTGAAATTCATTTTGATACATTCATAGTGCATTTTAATGCATTTACAGAAACTGTCCAACATTTTCTGAATGTATAAAATGAAATTTCAGACTCTTGGAAATACCTGTTAAATTCATAATTTATTTGGACAGATACGTTAAACCAGTCAGCTTTGAGAAACACACCCAGGTACACAATCTCTCACACAAAATTCAGATGACTGGTCTTCCTTTTATTTTAAATAAGACAACTGTTGAAGCTTCAGTATAGTGGTAAATAGACTGTTTTTATTGGCTTCCAGAGCAGTCTTGAATATGTTTAGTGCACTTGAGTGAAACTCAGATGTTTAATTAAATGAAATGAATTTGTCATGTTTGCATAATGATGTAGCAAGCATCTGTAGTGACAGAGGCAAAATAAATAGCTGTAACTGTGTTAGAAAGCCTTAACATCTGGGCAAAACAGCTTACTATGAAGTGAGTGAAATTTAGCCCAACTTGACTGTTTATAAATCCTGATTTTTATCGTTGGGCTTATGACCTCTTAATTTAATAGCAGATGAAAATTATACCCATTTAGCTACCTCCTGTCTCCGTGTGTTGAGCTTCCTCTATCTGGAATATCAACTTAGAACAGTTAACTAAATCCAGTTTGAGCTTCCAGATCCATGGATCAAGAGAAAATAAATGTTTTTAATGAAATTCCATTTAGTAGGACTTTTTAGTAGGACTTTACAGAAAAAAGCACTCAGCTAGATGATGTTCAGTGTTTCTCTTTTTTAATTCTGTCCTTTTTTAGCTGTTTAGCAAAAACGTAATAGTGAAACACCAGTAGATTATTCTGCTGTATAAGGAAACTTGAGCCACAACAGGGCAGCTCTGTTTTAGCAAGATTTGTTTTTGGGACCTTAAATTTCCTTGCGTTGGTGCTATACATTTCTGTGTACAGCCTGCATGCAAATGTGACCAAGAAGAGGAGCAACGGTGAAGATAGCATTGAATTGTTTAATCTGCCTTAAAGCTGTAGCCTTTGTCTTGTTTTAATATATTATTTTAATTTGAAGATACGCAAACCATTTCTAAGAAAATGCAAATGACAATTGCCAATGTTAGAATTGTGTTTATATTATGTAACAGGAGAGAATTATTTAAATAAAATAATAAAGTGAACAAAATATCTATTCTGCAAAATGTTCTGACTGCCTGATTATTTTCTCAAATAGAGGTGTAGATTTTAGTGGACACCAAGGGTTAATTTCTACACATTTATTTATCGTACGGCATAATATACATGAACTTATAGTATATATTAACATTTCACCTAAATTAAAAACATAGTAAAAATGAATGTTAAAAAGATCTATATTCAGATACCAATGTCTAGGCCAGGGCTGTCAAATTTGTGGCCCGCAGGCCAGAGTTGCACTGGTCCAGTTTGGCGAAGGAAAAAAGTGATATGTGACAATGCCGTAATAATGTGAGTTTGACACCCCTGGTCTAGGCCATTTAATCACTGAAGTACAGCATTATTTATTTGAAAGAAATCAAACAGGACCAGTATATGCCGTCACTTTATAGCCAGTCTTGATGTGATCTACAGTTTTGATGTGGGACCCTGTAGTCACACTGAGGGAGGATACTACACCCCTTTCATACAGTGTACATTTATTGTATACAGTTTACTGATTTAAAACTAAAAGCTTTTTCCTGTGGTGACGTCATTGTGCTTAGAGTGGAGGAAAGGGAGCTCTCCTAACCTCTAACTCTAACTTCTTCATTTGGGCTCATTTTTGAGCGCTGTTGATCCTGAAGGGGCCAGCAGATTAAGGGGAATAATCTGTAGACACTGGGGTGATAAGGCAAATCCCCCAGTGGATAGGAGAA